ACAGCACAAGACTTTCTCTAACATTGGCTTCAGGTCTGTAGCTTTTTAAAATTTTACAAAATTATTCCCATCTATGAAATTGTGCTGATCTTTTTTTCTTTTTTACAGTTTTTACATTAATGTAAAGAGTTAAGTATCTTTTTTGTACAGAAAGTTTACTCCAACATGACTGTGTATTGTTAAATTTTATTTATTAATACTCTTTAATCATATCTATGCTTTAGTATAGTACTTAATTTAGTATAATACTTAATTTTCACCAACAAACCAACGCTGACACAACAATATGCAAGACATCACATAAACGGCCACTTGAGTTTTCTAAAGCTGCAACAAATTTAAAGAATACACAACTCAAAAGTGTTACTTAAGTGAGCCGATAATAAACACACTTCAAGTATACAAAACATTAAATAATCCAGTAGCCTTTATGAAAAGCTTTGCTTGCTTAACTCGTTGGAAGCAAAAGTAAATATCCGAACACCTTTAGGCTAATGTGTTAACGACAGCTGTATTTCACTAATTCTACAAAAGTGGCGTATGTCCCTACAACAATCATTGATGGCCTGTGCATCTTTATAAATAAAGTAGAGTAGGGCTAAGTTAATAATTAAGCTACATGATTACTCAAAGGCCGTCTAGGATTAACGTACTAGCATCAAACTACAGTTAAGCTAATGCTTAGCAGATACAATGTTTACGTTGCAACTGGACACTAAGCTGGCATTGTCCCCATGGTAAATAAATAATAACCACTAATATTAAGTGTCAAATAAGAAAATAACTGGCATTCGTTAGCTCTGGCATTATATTTGCTTTTGGCTCGTGGGACTTAAGTAAAACATGAAAAAACTTTACCTCCATGTTGAAGGCGTTCACTGCATCCATAACGACTGGTTAATGTTGAAAGCCAACTGACTAGTCTTTATATTTGATTACTTTACCTTGACCATAACCACGCGCAGCTTCACCTAACTATAGCATAACAACCACGAGCATCGGGAAGCTTTATTTTCCTTTCGACGTGGACTAACCAAAGCTCAGCTAAGCTAAAAACTGCTGCTAGCTTAACGGTTCCACCCTGTAGACAGCGCCTGTGATGTCACGAGGTAATGCTGCCTTCACAGTTATCGGAAAATTTGGCGTCTCCGTATGTTTCTACAAAAATCGTTTGGATGACTTTTGGAAGCATTTTACTAAAATTAACTGATTTTCGGACCTATCATGCAAAGGCAAAATGAGTATTGTTCTGAGTTAAACTGTTCATAGGGAATTTATGACTGAATCCACAGTAGACGATGAGAAGTGACAACTGTAACAGGTGAAATTCCCACAACCTGTCTTGTGGGGTAATGCACTTTTGGCCCGGCTTTAGATAAGTCGCAGTTTATGGGCAAACCTTTGGAATGACGACCATGTGCCCAAAACTGTCAGTGTGAATACCTAGTGCCCTTTATAGACGAGAACAACTGTCCACAATCAAACAATTTCCAGTGTCATAAGTTCAGCACGACTTATTAGAGCTGGGTTCTTTAAGTCCCTGTGTACTCTACATATTTCAGCATGTCTGCTCCTATTTTTTAACATAACTAAAATAAAGATGGAATTATATGTACTTATTAGCAAACTGTTAAAAATAGCATCTAGTATACTGATTTTTTTTTTTTAATTTCCAATGATTTTATAAAGACCAGAGCCAATCAAGAAGTTGTTTGTAATTCAGCACGAAGCACAGCAGGCGGCGCTCATGACATGGAGTTAAGCGGCTGAAATGAGCGAGACACATTTTATTTTGGTTAATACCGTATCAATGTTGTGTGAAATAAAAGACACCGTGGAGCTATTTTTTTCTTTTAGGGAATTTTCTTTTGCTTATCGATTTATCTCATCAAGCGTCTTGCTAATTCTTACAGTCTTATGACGAGTTCTGGATTTACGACTATATGCCTTTCCTTGATGGCACCTATTCGATAACGAGACATTAGAATTGAATTAAACCAATGACAGAAAAGTGCACGATTTGATAAGAAGGGACTGGTTTGTTTAAAGAGGAGGCTGCTGTTACAAATTCAATGCAGCTAGCTTCATGCCTGAAACTAAAATGTCGGATATCGTAAAGTGACTCATGATGCTGTAACGTCCCTAAAAAAACAAAAACTAATTCGAATCTAAAATTCTAAGTGTATAGTATCTGAAAACACAATGAAAATTCAATTGCTGGGTTAGAGCTCCATGAGATCCCATTAATTCCTGCTGGCGCCCCACGCCCCCCACCCGATGGGGGTGTCTGAAGAATAAAATCCACAAAATCTCTTATAGCAGGGGTGTCAAACTCCAGTCCTCGAGGGCCGGTGTCCTTCAGGTTTTAGATCTCACCCTGGGTCAGCACACCTGAATCAAATGATTAGTTCATTACCAGGCCTCTGGAGAACTTCAAGACATGTTGAGGAGGTAATTTAGACATTTAAATCAGCTGTGTTGCATCAAGGCCACATCTAAAACCTGCAGGACACCGGCCCTTGAGGCCTGGAGTTCGACACCTGTGTCTTATAGCAATTACATTTATAGGTAAAATATAAAGTGCATGGAACTTAAAAACATCGAGCGCAGAACCAGAATGCCGCATTTCTTGAATGGCTTTATGTTGCCCCCTTGTGACCAAACCTGCAAACTGCATCCAGCCTTTAAAATACAAAACGAGTAGTACTGACAGAAGAAACAGCTGGACTTGAATCGCTAAACACACACGCGGGTGAGGATTTCACGGATATTCCTCTAAGACGATTCATGGTAGAAATAGCAGTAAATGGCTATTATTTTCTTTAGCTGATTTTTGTGAATGAGACAGTAACACGTTCCCTCTCAGATGGCTGGAATGGAGAACTCTACCAGCGGGATTATATATGAATACTATTATGATTACCTGGATCCCGTGATTGTGGATGAGAGAAAGTTAAAGTACTATAAATGTAAGTTGTTTATTTTAACGCTTTACATAATTGTTCTGTCTTGCTTTTATTACACGAAGATAACACATTTTCTATTCTCCTCCCAGATTCCGTTGTTATAATATTTTGGGTAGTCGTCATTACCTTTGTGGCATGTCTTTTTCTCACTTTGAATCTACTGTCTCGCAGTGGAAACCTACCAAAGTAAGTATAAAGGTCAATTGCCTTTAATGCCTTTAAAGTGCGTTTTCTAACTGAAACATGTATATGCGTTTCAATATGCGTAATCCCTAAAGGGCTGCTCATACTTAAAATTGTCTTGTTGTCTTTGCAGGAATCACACGTCAACTAATTCACTAGAGACTCGATCTTTATGAGAACATAGTGAAAAACGGAGGGGATGGACTCAAATTCAAAATGTGATGATAAGGTGCAACAGCACTAATGAAATTTAAAATGAGAAGAAGTGACCATCATTCTTAACATCTCGCAAGATCACTGCAAAGTTCAAGGCTTCCTTAACCATTAAAAAAATGTTACGTAACAGCTGCTTTGAGCTTTAAACCACTGTGTGTGTGTGTGTGTGTGTGTGTGTGTGTGTGTGTGTGTGTGTGTGTGTGTGTGTGTACATAAGAACAAGGACAGCGAGAGTATATTAGGCAGCTTTGCTCCTTCCATTTTCATTTTAGTCCCAAAACTTTCTGCTCAAAATTTGTACATACAGTACTTTGGAAAAGTTCTGAGCCACCTCTCATTTCTTTGCATTTTACTAGGTAAATGGGAGCATGTAAACATACAGGGACATACGGTATACAAGGCAAAACAGACTTTGTATAGTTCTAACAAGTTTTAAAGTCGCCTTTTGTATGACTGACTTTTTGTAGTTTCTTTAAGAATTCTTCAGGAATGGTTCTCCAAGCTTCTTGAAGAACATTTAAAGCTCTTCATTGAGGTCCAAATCAATCCACAACTTTCATTGTGTTTTTTCAGTGTTTTGGGATCATTGTCATGCTGAAAAATGAAGTTGTTGCCAATCAAACTCTAAAAATACTTTACTGTGTTAATGACAAGATGTCAAATACCACAGGCTGAAAGGCAGCCCCAAACCATGACAGAGCCTCCACTTAAAAAAAAAAAAAGGCTATAGACACCCACTGTTGTACCTCCTCCGTACATTTCCACAATGGTTTGAATGAAAAATTTTACATTTGGATTTATCACACCATAAGACCCTTTGCCACCGATTTTCAGGAGTTCTTGTGTAACTTGTCACACCTCAGCCTTTTCACTTCATTTTCCTTCCTTAAGAATGGCTTCTTGCCAGCAACCCTTCCACTGAGACTATTTCTAAAGGTCTTGGTGAGCAGTAGATGAACAAAACTGAAGGTTTAAATGCATCTCACAGGTCCTGCGTCACGTCATTTGTTGTTTTTTTCCCCCCGTTTTGCATGAACATGACTAAAAATTACTAGATTTCTGATTCCTTGCAAGCAAAATATGAAGACGTGTAGGGGTGGCCCAAGACTTTGGGACAGTACTCTACATAAAAATATGAACAAAAATCTTAGATGTCTTATTTTGATACATATGTCCTTAGTTTTATACTAAAGGAAACAATGTCAAGAATTCCACCTGCAAACAAAGCATAGCTTAACATAAGTTATGCTTCCATCCACATGCTCTTCCTTCTTTGTGACTTCCCAATATAAGGACAATTAATACGCACAAAACCAGAAGTACCAATTATTTTTAAAGATACAATTTAAAATTAGTCTTTTGTCAAGTTGTTTGTTATGTTTAGACAACACTAGTTTATCATTAAGTGAATTTTCTTTATACTTGAATGATTCATAGGTCAGAATTAGGTGGCTTAACAAAAGATATTCCTATAAAAATATCAGGTACAAGGACTGGACTGAAAATGAATAATAAAGCAGCAAATTTCAAAATAAAAAACGGTGATTGAAGACACACACACACACACACACACACACACACACACTTGCAGGCACAGGTTAATGAGTTTAAAATAACGTTCAAATTGACAACAGATTTGTAAATCAACATTTTATGACAAGACGGTTTTACAAAAGTTTACAAAATATTTTAAGTCTATTTACAGGAAATAAATGCAGCTGAACAGAAGTATGTGACGTCTCATTTGGTCTATTTTAAAGAACACATTAAGTGTTCACATATAATTTATATATTCAACTCTTCATGGTGATGATGTCATTACAGATGGCTCTTATGTCTACTTTCTTTTGGGATGATTTCACTTTCTTGCACTTGGCTCCGGTCACCAAACTGACATGAGACAGGAAGAGATCAGCCGATGTGGCTCCACTCCACACCTCATGGATGTACAGTGACAGCAGAGACAACCCTGCTTCTGGAAACAAGAAAACAAGACATCAAACTCATTTACAAAACAACCTATTAAAACTTATTGTCACTTTGGGACTTTAAAGATACTGAAAAAGAAAATGTAAACATGTATTTACTATTTTCTTCTATATTTAAATGTATATTTTTACGTACGATGGATTCTACATCACGATTAAAATATGTTTGACAATATATATTATTACTGTAGGCTTTCTTTTTTTAGTTCATGCTTTGACAAATGTGGCAAATACAGAGTATCTAATCAATGTAGAGAATATACAGTTGAATTCATAACTTCATTTTGTTAAAAAACACCAAATATAGAATATTCAACCATTTCTTAGACCACCTGTCAAAAAAAAGAAAAGAATATTTAAGAAATCTCTAAAACGTATTTAAAACTAAATATTATGCCATTTATTAGGCAAAATCCTTTGATCCTAACAGGAGTTGTCATTCTTGCTGGCATTGCAATCTCTTTTGTTACTAAATTAATAGTTTCCAGCTGTTCTCTTTGTTTGTGCAAACTATCTCTGAAGGATTCAAGTCTGGACTTTGACATGATCAGACCATCAGTCTAAATTCCTTTTTCTTAGTCAAATAGTTTCTGCACAGCTTTCAAGTATGCTTGGGGTCATTGTCCTGTTGGTATATGAGCCAAACAGTTTCTGTGCAAGAGTTTAAACTTAGATTCGTCTCTCCAAAGTACCTCTTTCCAGTTATCTACAGTCTACCATCTGTGTTCTTTGGCAAATCCGAGATGTTTCTGGATGTTTACAGGCCCCAATAATGTCTTTATACCAGCAGCTACTCTTCCTTTTAAGTCTTCTTTATTCAGTTGTCTGAATAAATTGTGGAGGTAATTGTGGAGACCTTCTCAGACTGATCTAGAAGCATTTATCTCTACTTGAAGATCAACACTGGTTTCCTTCTGTCTCTAGTACTTAAAATCTTAAGTTGATTCACATCCACTTCTGTAAGTTTTCATTTTCTGCTTCATTTTCTTCCTCTGGGCCTTTTCGTGAATACCAGTTCAGCAGTTGACTTCAGGGCATGCTCGACCTCACTGTGACAATAATTTCTGTATTTCCCTGTTTGTCTCAAAGACCATGCAGCACCACGAAGTGCAAACTTTTTCCTTTTCCTTTTCAGCGAGTTCTCAACATTTCACCGTTTCGAGCACGAGTGAGGAATTTCAAACATTTTTATTCCCACATTTGAGCTTCTCTGAGGAGTCAGAAATTAATCATTTAACCAATAAAACTATTTTTTTCTCTTCTGGAATGCAAGTAAGCAACTCTAATTTATCATCTTAATAAAAATATAAAAATGTGCTTTACTATTGTTCCTTCCCTTTTATAAACCAGTAATTTTGAAAAGCCATGGCTAATAACAATAATTGTATTTAAGTCCTAAAAATATCATTTCAGTTAAAGATATTTTGCATACTGGCAGATTAAAAATGACAAAATAAACGATTCTGGTAATTACCAAAAGTGTAAAAGCAGTATGCTTTTGCCAGGGCTTCCATCTTTTGTAAGTAATTATGTTTGTTAATGTAACTTTCCTGCAGCAGCAGCAGCAGCAGCATTGTGACATCTAGGGACCGGGACAATAATCTCAATTTTAAATCCTTTCATACTATATATGTTAACACTACATCCCACTTGTTTAACTGAGATAACTCATCAGTTACAATTTCAGAATGAGGGTTTGGAAAAAGTAGCAGGCTCTTACCAAGTCTAGTCTGATCATGTGTGGCCTCTGGGATGCAAGCAGAGACAACTGCCTGATGCAGCTCTGGAAGGTTGCCTTGGATCTCTAGCAAGGAGATCATAATCTTGGTGAAAAGCTGTAAGGTTTCTGCTCTTGCTGAAATGCTGGAGTGACAGTGAGCTTCAAAGGCCTGATGGTAGAGCCGAAGGAGGTCCGCTTTCAAGCCAAGATCAAGCAGTACAACATCCACAATTTTTGTGTGTTTGATCACAGCCTTTTCAAGCCAGAGCAAGAATTCTTTTGCCCTGTTTTCATCATACGTGTCCTCCACCAAGCACCTCAGGGACCACTTTGTAACCAGGTGCGCAGTAATCCTGGCCAGCCAGCTGGGATCCAGCTTGTCTGTTGGCAGAGCTGGCTGGGGTTCACAGAGTTGGAAAGCAGGCTCCCAGTGAACAAAGATATTGGTGAGGTAAAGTTTACACTCTGTCAGAAGACTCTTATCTTCATTTTCGGTCTCTGTGTCTTCTGCCAACTTTTCTTTTCGCACATAGACGTGGGAAAGGGAGCTCTTAACTCGGGCCTTATCCTTTCTCATCCCTAAAGAGGAATATGGACAAAACGATATACAATGTGACAATGCAAAATAACAAAACTCTAAATTTTCCACTTCTTTATAAACATGACACTTGTTAAGCCTGATTTTTATTGCTGTTCTTTCGTCAGCCGTTCCTTTGCATTTACTTTTAACTCTAAGGCCAAGTTTCTGAGTTTGGCTGCAAATCAGGCACATTCATAAAACCATATAAATATCAAATATGAAGTATCTACTATTTAGAGATAGCAAGTAGTTATCAAAGCTACACAAAGTAAAGATATTACAAAGTATCTTAATCACAACTGCAAACATGGGTACAAAGTGGGTCATACCACATTTTTATACCAGTTAGTTTCATTCAAACACCTCATATATGTTTATCATGTTCATGCTGTTAAGTTTCAACTGGTAGTTTTTTTAATTAGCTGTTTAAATAAGGCTTGTTTAGGGTTGAAAAATGATCAGTATCTCCTTTTCCATTATGGGCTTGGAGGGTGTCCATCAAAGACTACCGTGGCAACTGTACAAGATTCTCTGTATGTTAGAATTTGTTAAAAGCACTCACCCATCACCTCCTTCACTTTGTGCTTTTCTGACAAGGCTTGTATTTGGGTAAGAAGTTCTGTATTGTGGGACGAGGAGGCCCAGCAGTGAAGCAGAGCGAGGGCTTCGGTGCAGGACAGAGGCTGTGGCTGGAGCGTGAGCCGGTCTGCCTGTTTGCTTACATGGAGAGCAGTCGCACGATGCTTCAGCACAGAGCAAAGAGTCTGTAGAAACAAGCTGAGCTGAGCAGCCTTCAAACCCAACCTGTCAGAAGGAGATGAAACAATGACATCTTTCATCAAAAGACAGTTAACATTTACTGGACATCTTAGGTTTCATCACTGCACGTGTGAATAAAAGTTTTGGGTAAAGTGCCCGAGGTGTGGACTTTCTAACAGCCCTGAATGATGGATGAGACACATTACCCGAGATGTCTCGTGATAGTTGACGCCACACATAAGAATTCACTGATGAGTGGCGGAGGAAGACATTTCACAAAGCTCTGAGGTTTCTCCTCAGCAGATAAGGAGGTCTTTGCTTCATCCACCTGCTTCTCCTTCTGCCCGAGGGCCGTAAACCACAGCACATGAAACAGATCGATGATGGCGCACAGCAGCTGCCAATCCAGATTCCTGTCAATTAAAAACAGACATATGTAACAAATATGTAACTGATGAAAATCATCATTAAAATATCAAAATAAAAATTTAAATATCAAAATAAAGAACCAAAATTTAACAGCAAACCTTAATTTAAGGCTCACCTTTTTTCAACTATTTGCATTATCCAGGTTAGGAGCCCAGAGGTCTTGGTGAGGTTATGCGCCGCTTTGGTCACACGAGCAGCCTGACACAACACCCTGATGATCTGTGCCTAAAAAGTGAGAAATACATGTACGTGATATTCTTATTTTTCCTGTTTGTGTACATTTCAGAGAATCACGCACCTTATCCTCAAAAATGTGTTCGTTTTCAGAACTTTACGGTGGTACTTTCTGATCTCTTTCTTCATTATGTGAAGGATTTGGCTCTATAACCTACTAGTGTAATGAATAACTATCTTATTATTGGTGTTTTTCATTATACGCAGTAATAGCTGAGTAATGTGTAGTCCATTCTGCACAGAGTTGTTATAGTTTTTCTATTTTCTAGTGAGTTTTTATCTTGTTTTAAATTTTTTTTAAATTCATTTTAGCTTCAATAGGTTTCCAGAGTGGGTTTGCTTGTTTCAGGTTAGTTTTCAGTCCTCAGACGTCAAATGCTGATGGGGTATTGTCGTCACCTCACCTGGGACGAATAAGTGTGAATGCGATAACTTGAGAATGAGGTGAAGTATGAGTTCAAATCTCAGTGACCTCGACCTCAAATTCAGAGGTCAAGTTTTCTGAAAATTCTGTGAATGCGTTAACTCAAGAAGAAAGTCACCTAGGATTTTCATATTCATACAATAGGTGCATCTACTAGGAGGCTGAGGGGCAGCACTGGTAACCGCTAGTATTTTTATTATTTGAAAATGTTTAGTTTTACTTTAATTTTTATCAATTGTATCAGTTTCAGCGTTAGTTTAAGTCCTTTTCTTTATTAATATCACAGCAGTTATATGCTAACGGTAGCATTTAGTATGGCTATTACAATAAAAACAACTTTTTCACATCCATAGTCACAAAAATTGATCGAGGGCTCATGAGACAACTTAATTATATTAAGTAAATAACAAATTGTGCCAAACTAATATTAATACTAAAACTAAGGATATTTCTTCTATATTTTTATTTTAGTTTTCCAAGTTCAAAAAGATTATTTCAGTAGTTTTTGTTTTTTAAATAATCTGGTTTTTATTTTTACTTTAGTAAACTATAATTTGTTTTCATTTCCAGTTTTACATTTTATGTTTAGCTGTAGTTAACTATAATAACTTTTGTTCTGCATGCAAACTAATTTTCTAATCTTTTCGAGCCCCAAAAACAACAGTTTCCTGAATCCACCGGGTACAGCATGATGTTTTCTTTCCTTCTCATCACACAAAATAAGTTGCTGGGTGTGCAGAGAGGCAAAAGCAACTGCATTAAGTTGGCCCCAGAGATCCACCTGAATAGTGAACTCCCCCAAAGCTGGCAGCAAAGGGGTCAGATTTTAAGTTTGCTAGAAATGACTGAAATCACAGCAGCTCATTTGCCCCCGATCTCACCATATTCTTAGCATCCTCCTCTATCACACCAACCCTGTACATGTCCTACTTTAGTACATCCATAAACCTTCTATTACAGAAGTAACTATAAAATAGATTCAAGGAGAAAGCACATGTCCTAAAGACACAGGAATATGTTTGACATCTAGAACATAGTGGGCAAACAGATGGATAAATTACTGTTTGAACGACGTGGTAATGTGGAAACATTTGAGTGTACCATGAGTCGTCTGAAATGGTTTTCAACCAAGAACCAATTAACCAGCAAATCCTAATCTTATTCTACGTAGAATCATATTATACACGTGTGAAACTGGTTGCTGTAGGGGTTGAATTTAAGAACACAGACATCAAGTCTTGCTTAAAAAGAAATTGATAGCATGGTAAATATTTTGACACAAATCTAAGCCCTTGGAGGAAACTATATCAGTGAGAGCATATTCACATAAATCAGCAAGAAAGACAAGCTCGCTGTCATGCCAAACCTTGAACAGTCACAGATACAAAAATGCTGTCAGGAGAGAGATTAGTGAGACAAAACAAACCATAAAGGCCCTGGTTGGTCTGAAAATGTCAATATATCACCCAATAGTAATACAAAAGTTTGAAAGGCTCAATCTTCCTTTAGATTTAACTTTTTTAGGACATATTGTCTTGATCTAAAATGAAGCTGCTTGCTGCTACTACTGCACATTCACCCAGTGTATATACTATATGTCTGTGTATATATATATATATATATATATATAATGTTCTTCCTCTACACCCCCCCCCCAATTTTTGCACATGTCGAGGAGCGTGTCAGGCTACATTTCACTGTGTGTTATACTTGTATAACTATGCTTGTGACAAATAAAGAACCTTGAACTTGAAGGTTTCTTCAAAACTCAACTAGAAAAAATGGTGACAACTACAGACAGACAAGCGTGTACCTGGAAGTGTTCATCACACAGAGGGCTGCTGCTGAAGCCTAAAAGGATCTGAAAGATGCCTTGCTGGTTGCACAGGTCATAGCAGTGTCCATCTTTCATCCCTTGCTCCAGCACGCTTAGAATCCACTCACGTTCCACCTTGTGCTGCAGAAAGAAAGAAAACACAAACAGTCACGACTCCCACGTCTTTCAACCCTTCACAAAAACGGATAACAGTCTAAAAAAAGGCCTGAGCTAAGCAAACAAACCGATAAAGGTTGCTCATCCAAGAGGAGTTTATTTGGATAGTCATTTAAGTTCAAGGAAGCGTCACCAATCATGTTTAACACCAGACGGCACCAGAATACAAAAACAGTGTTTTCACCAGTTTCTTTACCTCCAAGTCAAAACTGTAGAAAAGCTTAAAAAACTCAGGGACTCTTCTGAAGTCCAAACTCTGGTGGGATAGCAGAAATCTGTTCAGCACCACGTACATGTGGTCCTCTGGGAAAAGCGAACAAACATGTGAAGGTCAAGGATTCTTTTGTTATTACAGGAAACGGTAGATAGAAAAACAAGTGCAAACCATGACTGTGATTCTTATTCAGGATAGATTAGCCTAAAACCTACTTTCAACCTAAAAAGCATCTCTTAGTAAATAATAAGAGTTATGTCAGCAGAAAGATATTCAAGTTTTCAGGGTTACACACCAGGTTTGAGCATCTGCTGAGCCACTTTGGTGATGTAAGTGGTCATGACAAATGGGAGTCTTTGATTCTGTTGCTGAATTCCATTTTTTACCATGTCCATCAAGTAGAGCAGCTGTGAGACAAAAACAAGCCCGTCAGTGTTTCCAAACACACAACATTTACACACACACACACACACATAAGATGTCTCTAATATTTACCTGTCTCTTTTCTCTGAACTGAGCACCCTCCAGATGTTGGTAGAAGCAGCTAAGCACGTGGTACGCTGCCGCCCTCACCTTTGGATCATAGCTACTCAGAGCCATTACAGTTACTCCAAGAGCGTGGCTGGATACAAACTTCAGGCAGTCAATAACACATTCTGTCAAAGAGGAGGAAATACGCAACAGATATAAGAAGTGATAATTAAAACTAATTATACTGAGTGACGACAACCAGTGAAATATGATACCTGGCCGCAATATGGCGCTGAACAGAGGCAACAGAAAACACGGATCATACAAATTCCCAAGGTCTTTCACTTTATTATTATTGTAGAGTGGCTCCGTGCTTTCCTGAGAGAGGGTAAGAACATGTACATTACACAAACATATAATGCAGTGTGTCATTTACCACTAATTGACGCCGATCAGGCATAACCTTATCTTTTGCTGCCAGCGCAGCCCTGACCCGTCTGGGCATGGACTCCACCAGACCCCTGAAGAATCTGGTGGAGTCCATGTTAGCAACAGATCATTTAAGCCCTGTAAGTTGCAAGGCGGGGCCCCATGAATCAGACTAGTTTGCCCAGCACATCTTACAGATGCTTGACTGGATTGAGATCTGGAGAATTCAGAGGACAAGTCAAGTTTCAATCTTGTTGTTGTGCTCCTCAAACTACTCCTGAACCAAAGCATTTGTGGTGCATTATCTTGCTGAAAGAGGCCTTTTTCCATGAAAAACTGTACATGGTCTGGAACAATACTTAGGTAGGTGCTACGTGCCAAAATAACATCTAAATGGATGGCAGGACCCAGGGTTTCCCAGCTACAGATTTCCCAAAGCATCAGGCTGCCTCCGGTGGCTTGCTTTTTTCCCCATAAGGCATCCTGGTGCTAGGTGTTCCCCAGGTAAGTGATGCAGCTAGCCATCCGAGGTCCAGTTGTGATGCTCATGTGCCCATTGTTGGTGCCCCCGACAGCATGCAGGGTCAACGTGGGCACTTTGACTGGTCTGCAGCTGTGCAGCCCAATACACACCAATCTATGATAAACTGGGCATTCTGATACCTTTCTATCAGAACCAGCATGAACTTTTTCAGGAGTTTGACCTATAGACGTTTATCTGCTGGAAGGGAGAACAGGGACCAGGGATCAGAATTTGGCCCTTGCTAAAATCCTCAACTGCCAATTTTTCCTCTTTCCACCAAATCAACTCTAAGGACAAAATGTTCACTTATTCCCTCATTGATCCCACCCACTAACATACGGCATGATAAAAACATAATAAGTTTTATTCACTTCATCAGTCAGTGGTCATAATATTATGCCTGATCGGTGTAAATCTGAAAAGTAAATATGATGTTAAACATTAACCTGCGGGATGATTTTGCACTGCTGTGGAAAGTGTGCAATAGTTTGCAACATCTTGTCAGGTTTGAGGAGAGCCAACAGGTCATCTGAGCTGGTCTGCTTCCACAGAGAAGCTCCCAGGCTTTTACTGGTCTTGTGGTGCTCCACTGCTATTGGGCCCCACAACAATGACCTGCAGTTGAAAACTCACACTGAGTTTTTGTATTAAACAAGCACACTTCTAGCATTTAGAACATAAAAAGATGAATTCAACCTACTGGAACTTCAGCAGGCTGACTTGGTTTCTTTCATATTCCTGAAGAAGCAGCAACAATTTTTGATCTGCAAAACAGAAGAAGATATAAGAGGATAAGACAATAAAAACGCAAAAAAAGAAAAAAGAAAACAGGTTTTCTTGTTTTACCTGAAGTACTCAGCGTAGCTCCGTATGCTCCCAAAAGTACAACAAAATGATTGATGTTGCAGACACTCGGGCTTTTCTTCACCAGACAGAGTAGGAGGAATACCAACTCTTCTAAATTGACAACAAATGTGTGTTTTTGTGATTAAATTGTGATTTGGAATCTTTAAAAAAAAAAAATCTTTATTGCATTGTACCTTTAATCTGGCAGCTGTTAGCCTCTTCAGAGTCCAGCATGGTGGGCAGGAACAGAGAATGGCTGGAGATCATTGTGTAAAGAGTGGGTAAAGGTATCAGGTCCTTTTGAACCTCAGTGCCACAATACATCACTTCCAACAGGCTGCTCAGAGTGTTCAGGAAGTGGTGATCTCTGTAGCGATATCTGAAAGATTTAAGAATATTTTACAGTCACTCAGCAAAAGTTATGAAACATTAAATAGCAAAATGGATTTAAATAGATAACCTACTTTAGTCCATTTTTGACAAAATTGTTCCACTCAGATGCAGTGATGTCTTCTTTGGATATCTGTATAAAGAAAGTAAGTTAGGAAATGCAAAAAGTTTAAAACTTACAAAATGTATGCGTGAAGTAAACCCACTAGCACTCGCTGTAGTCTTTTTAAGATGCTGTGCTCCTGCTCTAATGGGGAAGTAGCCTGATCTTTCGAGTGACTGTAAGAGGCAATGAGACACTTGATAGCTGCAGTGGCGACAGACTTCCTCCATTTTTCCTGTTCTTCTGGGCAATCAGCCAGCTTGTCACTGATAACATCTACTAGTTGCCATCTGAAAGAGCAAAGAATATTCATCAAGTAAGTTTTGACAGGATCATTTATTTATTTTTTGTAGTTTTGTAGTGCGACTATAAATTTCACCTTTCAAAACTGTCCACATTTTGAAGAGCACTGGGAAGACTGTTGATCAAATCCCCGATGTCCTTGCTGTTTGCAGAGAGCTTTATCAAACTGCCTAGAGTTTCCGTAAGCTGGGCTCCGGACTCTTCTGTCAGGTTTCCCAGAACACACTGGGAGAACTTGGCGAGTAACCCTTGCTTCAAGGCTTTCAAAATGTCTTTTTGCACTATGAAACAGCAGCAACCAAGCATACCTCAATTAGTATATATAGCAATACGAGATAAAAGAGTAACAATTATTTGTTTCAGTACGTACCATCTTTGGGTCTGGCTGGGTCCTCTCTGCTTGCCACACGTAAGTACATATTAATCAGTGGAAGGAAGGCTTCCGATTGGTCAGAAAGCTTCTCCATGTTTTCAGGTTCAAGACACCACATCTCAAACCGGAGCCGGTGAGTGGAGCAGTTCTGCAGCAGGAGAGAGCTGATAGCCAGAGAGTCTGAGAGTGGTCTTTGGAGACAGTGCAACAGCACATCTGTGTGGAGGAGTTTTGCACTGCTTGGCTCACTGGATAGAAACTGGAGCAAGAATGCCTCCAGTGCAGGCTTGGAACAGGACAGCAGCAGGGTGCCCAGACCAAAGAGGTGTGCCTGTGTCAGAAATGTGCCATGGTCCTGGGAGGCCGTATATTTACACTCTGTGAGGATCTGTAGAGCTGCCTGACCGTAAATGCTGAGCTCAAAATTTGCCCCCTTACTGCTACTGGGGGAGATGAGGCTGTTGTGTGGGAGGAGAAGCAACTTGGAGACAACTTCCCTCAAATTACCGGAATCCATGTAGTTGTGCAGAGACAGGAGGCCCTGGAAAGTTCTGGAGTGTTTCTTTGCCGGTTTAGAGCCCTTCTCCACCAATTCCTGAAGAGCAGCTCTTTCTAAAGCTCCCATGTAGCTCCTCAGAAGCTCTAGATGATTTAGTTCTTGAAGAACAGGGGCACAGAGCTTCAGGAGGACCAGAATATTATCTGTCATCAGTGAACACAAGTGCTTAAGTCTGACAGGGTTTAGAGAGTGAGGAGGCATGGCAGATAGCTCCAGAGCCAGAAACCACTGCTCCAGATATGGATGCTTGAAGACGGAGCCAAGAGCTGAAAGAAGGATCTAAAGAGAGAGAGTTTCATTAAAAAAAATCCTTCCCTCCAAAAAAGGAGAATATTGCAAAGTCTGAAAAAACACAGTAAACGCATTATTTTTCTAACCTGCTGAATATTAACTTCAACCGTGGAGGACTGGTTAAGTTCCAGAAAGAGGTCTGGTCCTTCTTGGCATTTCTCTACAGCTAGTTCAGAGTTTTTTGCCTCCTGAAAGCCTTGGAGCTTGATCACCATCTTTTCGAGTATTTCCATGAAGGTCCTCAACACGGAAGCTCCTACGTCTTTAGAGAACTGTGAAGAGGGAAATGATGCACTGTTTGCATATTCAACAATGTGAGGAGGACGGGGCTTGTTTTGCGCACCTACCAGTCCAAAGTTTTCCACAGTTGATCTGATGTAGAGTAATATCTGCTTGATTGCAACTGGAAACTCTGCCAGAGAAAGGGAAGCTAAAGCTTCTTCTGCACTTTTCCTAAAGGTATCCTTAAGCAAAGTGTCCGGACCTTGGATGTAGGCAGCTTTCATCAGTGCAGTGTATGATGTTTGATCTGATAATCCTTTTGCATGGCATTCAGAAGACCGGAACTAACAAAATAAACAAGAGTATTAGTCCAAGTACTATGTCTAACCATGTCTGATTAGGCAATCTCGTTGTATCACTAAAAACCCACCAATTCTTCACGGCACTGCTGTGGTAGCCACTTGGAGTAATACTGATGAAAACATACAATGGCTGAATGAGGAGAGGTAAAGCATTCAGAGGAGACAAACTCTTTATCGTACTGCAGCAGAGCCAGACAGAGAGGGAGCGGCTCTCTCTGACAGTGCAGCACATCTGAGAGCACTGCAGCCAAGTATTCATATACCATCCCTAAGAGACACAAAGACAGATGGTTACAAACATCATAGATCACAGTACATTTACTTTTCAATCAAAGTGTCCATGAACAGAATGGGTAAATGTCTTTTTAAACATTAATTACAGGCTATGGGCCAGATTCACTAAACTGGGTTTTGGCATTAAAAACAACAACAACAAAAACCCACAATGTATTTACAAAGAGAGCGCAGTGATTGCCAATATTACTACAAGAGATGGGAACTCAGAGATTTTGTTGCAAATGTGTTTGTTGGAGATTCTTTCACAAAGTGCAAAATACAGGAATAGAATATTTAAATCAAGCAAATTAAGTTCCTAAAGTTTGCGACACACAGTTTAGTACTAATTACAGCGATATTTAATGCGGAGAAAACGTATTATTTTCCGAGCTTGATATTGAAATGAACTGACTGTGTCTGTGATTGCACTCACATGCAATTTTGTCCCGTTTAGTAAATCTGGCCCTATATTTAAAGTTGTACTTCTTATACTGCATAACAAATTTCATGCTTTAAAAGTTTTTTTGCAAATTTGTGATTTCACTCTTTGTCACAAGTGAGGCAGAAATCATTTACCACTATCTGCTGGCAGCTTGTTTCGGGCCTCCAGGGCAGCGGGTACCAGGGCACTGAAGGGGAAGGTTTGCATGATGAGATCTTCACTTACAGCTGGGCCGAACTCCTCCAACTCACCATCACTGGCCTCCATAATGATATCGAGCATGTCTATGACATCTGAGATGAAAAAGTAAAAAGCATAAACATTCACGGACATACTTGAGCCCTAAAGAATTCAGCGTTGATTCCACATTTAAATGCTGACCATCTATGTGAGAAACTGGGACACTGGCTGTGTCACCCTCCTGGCTACTCAGATTCGCTTGCAGATAACCTGCTTCCTGGACCAGGCTGGCCACTTTATCTGTGTATTCATAGGAGCTGCACACCAGTTTAACCAACACCTAGAGCAAGAGACAGATTTTAAGAGTTTATTATCAGGCATAAGGATTAAAACCTTTATTTTTTCCAACCTCCAATATGACGGTTATGTAGAAAAGTAGGAAGAAATAAAAACTGGAAGACTTACCCGCTCCAAGAACTGAATAACAGTTTCTTGCTGGTTTGGCTCTAGTCTGGCCAGCTGTTCAAGCCAGAGCTCAAGCTCAGTCCAGGTGTGCTCGAACACACCAGTGTCCTTTAGTACCTAAATACAACACAGGACACCAATTGCTTTAGCAGTGCTGCAGGAGGAAATTTGTCCACACGAATATAAACCTCTTAAAATAAAATCCTTAAAAGACTTTAGCTTAAGCTGCTCTGATTTCATTAACTTAAAAAAGTTCAATGGAGGATTGAACTGTACCCTACAAAAGATAAATATCTGCTAACATACATATAATCCCTCCAGGAATGATGCCCTCGTATATAAAAATATAACATGCTTACAGTTTGTTTGCCTAAGTGGACCAATCTTGAATAAATAAGCACTAATTCAAATATCTAAATATATACAGTATGTCTCATATAATGCAGACTGGAAGCACAGAGGAAAAGGCAAAATGCTCCTTACTTTTAGAACAAGCATCTGTGTGGAGGCTTTCAGGTGGCTGCTGCTGCTGCTCACAAACATCTTGAGAAGCAGGTAAAATACAGATTTCTCTCCAGATGATGAATCTTTATCTGCAGCACCCTGTAAACACAGAAAAACTATTTAGAATAGATGTGTTTTAAACCAAAAATAAAAATAAATCAGAGAATTTAACTTCCTTACCTGCATACGGAACCAGGAGAATTTGCTTGCGGGAAGATCCAAGGCCAACTGCAGTACGTGGTGCTGCAAAACTGGGGGGACTTCATCCTTTATTCCTTTCTCTGACACAATGCCTGGACAGATAAAAAAAACAGTGTCAAAAGCCATTTATTGGAAAAAATAAGCTTTAAAAAAGCAAAAGTTGGAGCTTAATAATGCCAAAAACATTACCCTTTAAAAGCTTGCTGAAGTCAAATTTGCACTGGCTAACCAGATGCGGCACCACTTTCTGGTAAAGGCATAGGACCTGAAGAATCAGAGCCTTCAGCAAAATGACCTCAGCTGTATCTTCAGCTGTTTCAAAATAAAGCACACAAGACAATCAACTCAGATCCTTTTGGGTTTTTAAAAAAAAATAGGATTACTTGGAATAAACAATAATCATGTACTGTGAATGCTACTACCAGGCACTTTGCATTTAGTCAGTTTAGCATCCCCTTCGCTTTTATCCTTCTTTTCTTCAGAGCCAGCTTTTTCCTTCTTGCTAAGTGACTGCCACTTTTCAATTATGCTTGTCATGTCAGGCAAAATCTGGAACAGAGCATGAACAATGATTCGAGCCTTTAAAGGTGGATCATTTGCTTTTATTAAGGCACTTTCCTGAACCTACCTTGCCGAGCATCTCCCTGTACTGCTGCACTAAATCCTCCATCATCTCAGCAGTGTATAGGTCTGAGCTGCACCACACAGACTTATCCAAAAGATACTCTATGTTCTTACTGGCTCTTTTCAAGATGAAATTGACCACCGACAGGGTTGTAAGGTGTGCTCCTGTATTGGCAAGCTGTCAAATCAGAGAAGACACATTTAAGTAAAAAAAAAAGTTTTCAGTCTTTACTGCAGCAATAAGTTTATTTTATGAGGCTCAGTCACTTACAATAAGGCCCTGTGTGAAGAAGCTCTTGTTGCAGACTGGAGGAAGAGATATCACCATCACCATGGAGAGCAAGCGAGGCAGAGGGATGACCTCCTGAGTTTGAAAGACTGTGGAAATCTCTGGCTGGGCCTCGTAGATCTGATATAGAAATGTAAAGGTGACTATTACCATCTAAAAACTGATAAGATATTATTTTAACACTTTTACCACCAACAGTTACCTTTTTAAGAAGCTTCACATTGTCTTGCCAAGTAGTTTTGAGGCGCGGAGCATATGCATACTGAGTCTCCTTGAAGTATCTGGACAAAATATCGGGGGTAGCTTTCAGCACATTCACCACCAGATCTGCCACCAGTTCATCCTCAGTCGCCTGCTTCAGCCCCACCAAAAACTGGAGCAAAACAATGTTACCAGGCCTGCAAAGAAGTAAAATCCAGTGATCCACATGAGAAGTTCTCAGAAAAGGACAATGTGAAATTGGAATGTTAATGACTTACCTGCCAGCTGTGCCAAAGCTGACATCATGAAAGCTGATACCATGCTTACGGGAGCAACACAGATCAAGAAGGAAACTGTGAGCGAGTTCCCGGATGACTGTCATCCCAGAAAGCTCAGTGTTTTCCGACATCTTAAAAATATCATGTAATTAAATAAAAACGTTACTTGGACATGTTAAAGTAAACTGACCTGACACAATCTTTGTTTCTTTTGACACAAAACAGCAAAACAACAAGCGACCTACTCTGTCATCATCCACGGTTGCATCTGCAATCCCATTCCATTTATACAGCGACGCGATGCTGGCCAACACAGCAGGTGTGAAGAAACGTACTTTCTGTGTTTTACTGATGGCTTTGTTTAGAACAACCTACAGAAAGACAGAAAGGAATACATCTTATTACTAAATCCATGATCTGATCTCAAATGTCCTGGACTAGTACTTACTTTAGTTTTCAATGTGGACAAAATCAGGTTGACTGTGGACATCCGGTCCTCCTTCAGACCTGTATTCAGGATCACTGGCAGGAGTTCTAACACACCAAATGAACATGTTACTCACAGACAGTCCACTGCATAAATTATAATTTATATCTAAATATTACCTTTGATTTCTAATATTTGTCCGACTGTTGCGTTATCACCAGACACCACGAAAGAGAGCACAAACTGGATAAAAGCCTGGCGGACATCAGGTCTACCCTGTAAAATTATAATATCCAGAAAAGATTTATCTACAGAATACGACTAATCTGATGCACATCATAAACCCTGTGGACAAATACTGCATCGCACCTGCTTATCCTTCATCTTTGCCAATCCAGACAGAAATTTGTTAATGTGAAGGTGACTTAAGACCTCTCTGGCAGCTTCTGGACCCTGGGTGACCAAGGCGCACAGAAGACCGAGACACTGGCGGATAAACCTGTGTTCAAAGGGAAACAACATTGGTTTTGAGGCCAGAATGGTTTTAAACTGAGTGTCATTGTGCTCTACTGAAATCCACAAATCAACCTGTGGTTTGCTGAACGGAAAGACCCCTGCAGGAGTTTCATGTAGCTGAAAACGGTCTTCTTCACAATGGCATTGCCAACCATGTTGAAATGGGAGAGGTCACTGGCTGTCCTTAGAAGGATCGCCTCCAGGCTCCCAAAAATCAGCATCATCTGTACAGAAACACGATCAGAGTTTAACTCAGAAACCTCAGAAAGAGTGAGCCGGGCCAGAGCCGTCCGCTGAGAAACTAAAGCTTACCTCACTCTCTACGTGTTTTTCTCCTTCGAGCAATTTGAAGATCTCTGCACACTCCATGGAGATTTTAATATAACCTTCAACCACATCGTACAGGTCGGACCGTGGCAACTTCTTAGCGGTCGATATAAACTTCTCCAGTCCTGCAGACGAAAAAAGGAGGGGGCAAAGGCGGGATGCCGATAAAACAATGCATAGTTGACTGAATGCATAACACAATATTATTACTTCAAGCTGATTATTTGTACATACTATCACTCACCCTTCATGGCTGTGGTCGGGTCCTTCAGCATGGCTTTAAAAACTGTCCCATTGAACTCCGGAATCGTTTCTTTTTTCCGCGGAGTGTCTGACTCAGCAGACTCGTCGTTGCGCCGCTTTTTACCCATTTTGTTATATACAAACAACAATTACCACTGACGTGAGTTTTTTTATGCACTATCCTGCCATGGATGTGTTGTCACCCACGTTGCTCTGTAAACAGAACGCGGTACAACGGAATTGTCATCCGACCAGAAACGTTCGCTATTGAAATTTAGTTCCGCATTATCATGTAAGTTAAATAAAATGTATTTTGTCTCCTCCGTCTTTTACATAAAGCACATGCACATTTCATAAAATTTGCGACATTTTACATCCCTTAAACATGTAAAAAAAACCAGTTAGCTTATTCTTTTATACTGTCTGCCTTTAGCTTGACGGCTAGGTGTGAAAACTCTCTTAGAAGTATTTTTTAATATTCAGGATTTTAATATTCAAGAAGAGGGCGCCGGTCTACAACACTTTTGATCCAAATCTTTCACTTTTGCCTTAAGTCTCTCTCTCTCTCTCTCTCTCTCTCTCTCTCACACACACACACACACACACACACACACACACACACACACACACACACACACACACACACACACACACACACACAGAGATGGGGGGGGTGCTTAAATATTAAAGAATTTAAGAAAGCTAGAAAACTCTTCATACCACCAGGCACCTATTTAATCATGTAATTCACATTTTCTTACAGGCTACAAGTTTTAATCCGATCTGCAGAATTTTGCTCAAGCTTGAATTATTGAATGTTACAATAATGAAGCCTGTCACCAATCAATGATTAATCCCTCCCCAGATGTCATCTTGCACTGGGATCACACCAGCAATAGTTCTTAGACTACATCCATTTTTCAGACTTGGTCAAAAAACCACCTTCCAGGATGGTTCTGACTACAGTGGGTGTATTCAGGATGAGATTTCGTCATTGCACGAGAAACACAAACTCAAGATAGGCAGAAAGATAGAAACCCCTTTTTTTCTGCTCCGTTTAGTGCTCGCACATTCCACCATCCACATGTGTTTGTGGTTGTCAACACATAGCATTGCTAGCATGCAAAATCCAGTCATGAAAGTGGGCCGGTTGAATTCAAATAGTTGAAATGAAAGATTTGTGTAGTCTGGACTACAAAGAAGAAGTAGAGAGACCTATGAGGGAATGGCCCTCATGCTGTGTATGAGTTTTACATCCTTTTCATTTATGCATGTTTGCAAATCCCCATGCAGACAAGCTCTACCTGCTGCTTAAACTTGTGGGGTCCAAGAACTCTCCGGCTTTGCAAATGCTGCAAATCCCATGCAAGATACACAGTTTCCAACAGCCTTTATTCTAGTTTTTTATATTTAACTAAAGCATAATAAGTTAGGGAAAACACACATTTTGCTGAGCCATGCAGACATAGTTGTGGCTTAGATTTGTATCCTATTTAAAGTGTATCTGGTTTTTAACCACAGTGGTGCCTTTTCTCAGTTATTCTCTCAGCAAACTTTTGCAGACGCTGCCTAAACAGATCTAAAAGCTGACTTTGATGTGATAAGTAACCAGTGCTATAGGTTAAAATGAGCTATGTGGTCTGAATATCCTATTTTGTCACATGGTGTTTGGTTTGCAGCCTTCCCCTCTTGTTCAGCGTCTATTCTTCTTGATTTGCAAAGAGAACATCCAGCAGTTCAACTGGTGGTTGAGCTCAATTCTTTCTCAGAATATCTGACATCCTCATAACACAGGCAGCATTATACATCACACATGATATGTTTTACAACACTAGTCTGCATTTCCAAAACCACACATCTGTTTTTGATGATTGTTGAGAAAGACAGCTATTATTTTTTTGTGGAATGAATTTGAATGGGATAGTAATATTTCACAAACTGGAATTTCAGCATAACATCTTGTGTAACTTGTGTTCCCACGAATATGTTTAAGCTTAATTTTTTTATTCAATTGCATGGCCAACAGGGGTCACCTTTGCCTGGTTTAAGAATTTGAATTTATTTGCACCGAATAATGACTTGCAGAATGACTTGCAGCCTGTTATTTTCTGCAGTGTTACTCCATCTGATTTGATTCCAACTCACTGATGTACTCAAGTGAGACACCACAAAGATGGCACAGATGCTTTGTGATGAATGTGATATGACGTGTTACAGCACACTGTTTATTTTTTTAAACTGAATTATAGAGCTCTTACTTACTTGTGCCCTCAGTCAAGGAAACAGGCCCATTATTTTAAACTCAAATTGAACAGCATTTAATTTTCAGTATTTACGAAACACCAGAAGTTGCTGGATCATCTTCCATCTTGCGCAAAACCTCGACCAAACCTCTCTTTTATAATTTGTTTATTTATTTTTTATGTATAAAGTAATGCTTACAGGCTGATGCAACTTGTCAAAAAAGTGATTGTCAGCTTTTTTGGAGCTACAGACTGAACAGAATGTTTAGTCAACAAATGCCTTCAAGACATTGCAAAAGAAATCAAAACATAACCTTAATAATTGAGCAAACATATTAAATAGTGACAGGTAATACAAACAGAATTAAAATGAAAAATGAGCTAAGTATTCTGCTGACACTGTTTTACAAAAAAACAAATTAATAAAAAACAATCAAACAAATCAAAAAAGAACTCTGAAACTTTTCCCGCTGAGCATAAATTATGCAGCAAGATAAAGGTAACCCACCGGCCTCGGCAGTCAAAAAGAGTCTTTGAAATGTTGTTTTTTTTTTCATGTGCAAATAAAGTTTGCATTAGTTTACAGCAGGGACTCGTAAGGAAGCACATAATGGTGAATGTCTCATTATAAAGTAAAGAGAATGTTGATGTTAGAAACAATATTTTAAAAATTAAATGTCAGAATAATGACATAAACTCTAAACATATTTAATTGCAGCCTCCATGGAAATGATCTTAATCACTTTGTGTTTTCTTAGATTTTTTTCCCTTCTCATTGCTCAGTCACATACTGGAACCTGTGGAAATGAGAAATCTTGTGGTTGCTGAGACTTTTTTAGGGTCAAAACAAACCTTTGTTGGCAGTAATTCTATTTCCTGTAAGTTTGAAGTAGCTTAAAGAAATATTTTAATAAGTTTTCCGGGATTATGGCACACTGTTGATAGATAGCAACCTAAAATTTGATAATATTATTCACACAGTACCATGTAGTGCTTAGTTTTTGCTCCACTGCCACCAGGACTGCTGTCCATTGATGGAGAGGCTTTGGAAAAGGGCATCTACGTAAGACATTAATGAAGAGAGAACTTAAAACTGATCCCAAGTGTTGGATTTCTTTTTGCTCTTGTTGAATATCAGTGTTAATATTCACAAAAAGTTTAGAATATGATGACAGTAAGAAAATACAGATGCTTTTTACATCAAAAAGGGTACATATGTGGACCTCATGGGATGGTGTATGATGCACAATTTGTTGTTCCGTTCTGTTGAGATCTGTTGCTAAAGTGCTCTTATAGTGGAACCAGGCTATAGTGGAGAGAGGAAGCAGGAGTGGCACAGCTTCCCTCTCCACAAATGTTCTGTTTATTTTTGAATTTTTGGCCTGAGTGCACCGTTTCCTAAAATACTATGTCTGTGAATCCAAATGGTGGGTGTACAAAACCTGACATGACTTTGACAGGGATAGTTGGGCCTTTATAGCCTTGGGATGTTAGAGCAGGATGTTTTAGCCATGTGTGATCATGTCAGGACAGACGCCTTCTTAAAAGAGGAAAAAGGGGTAATTTACGATATTGGTCTTTTGCCACCATGTGTTGCACCACTCAGTAGTGATAGAAAAAAAAACATGCAGAAACTGAGCAAAGCACAACTTTGCTGAAAATAATATCAGAGATGGTTTCGTAGGGTTTTAAGCTTTATTATGAAGTTTCAGAGATTTCCATTTCTTTCACATAAAAGCTCACTTAAAGACTACTTTACTCCTCCAAGGTTATAGACTATACTTGTGTTGATTTCCTCTATTACGATGCCAGTAGCACAATTGGATCTGGATAGAGATACTGGGTGGTTTCCAAAGAGCTCTTTTCCACAGCTGAAGCCACTTTACCATGCCTGTTTTCACCACAGCGAACCACAGGCCTTTCTGTGAGGTTGCAGCACTTCCGCTGTGTGCCTCGCAGAGCTTCTCGGGCCCTCCTCACAATAACACTGCAGCCAACGCAGTTAAAGGATCAAAGATCACCTCACGCTTAACAAACAGCTAGACACTCAGCCTATCAGAAACATCTGGGAGTGGTTGGCTGCAGCTGCTGGTGCATGCCCACACCTCTGAAACAATCAGGACGGGTGCCAGATGTGGAGAGCATCTCACGTAAGGTTCAGATGTTTCTGTTCCTCGGAGTCACTCACCACAGGGAGAAACAGGATGCTTTCTGATGTCCTATTAAATTTAGACTGTGCTGCACCCAGATTGGGTTTGGTGCCTTGGGATATGCCACTGGCTTGTGGGTTGTCACTGTTCAGCAAGCTGATTGAAAACAGTGCTGTGTGCATAAAGCTTATAGAAAACACTGGGGAAAATGTTGTTTTTTCCAAATGGGTGAGTGTGAACCACTAAATATCACATATTCTGTCCCTGCTGGTGATAGAGAGGCAAGAATGTTGGAATCTTCTTCATATATTTTACATAATAAGCACCTATAAATATGTTCTATAAATATGTTGCCTCAATGTGGTGCTTGTTCAAGCACTTTTACATTTACCATGACACACTTCATAACCTATAACCTCCCATCCCTGCACCTGTTGCACTGGGCTTTTTACTGTGATAATGCTGTGGGAAAGAAATATTTAGAAGACCAAACAAAAACATGAAGAGTCTTATATTTGTTAAGATGTAAAGTAGAAAACAAGCTGGAAAAAATGAATATTGAATGTCTACTTTACTGCAGAAAAGATGCCTTGTTATATAATAAATGTGCCAGCTAATGAAGCCCACAAATTGTGTTTATTTCTGCAGAGATTTTAGACTTTGGAAGCTGGTGTTCATCTTTCATATTTATGTTCATATTTTGTGGCAATGTTTGACTGAGCTAATCACTGAGATTATTGCTCAAACCAGTGATATTGCCAAACTTGATATTGCTTTTGAAAACTCATCTGAACAAACTTTTCACACAGACTGCAAAATCTAATGAG